TGATAAATTCTGCAAGACAACTGGCACCCAGAGTGTGATAAGACGTGGTGAGGCTTCCAGTTCTGACAAGGTCACTGTAGAAGCCTATGAGAAAGAATGAAGGATACCTCATTCAACAAGCAATGCACCTCTTCCGGGAGAAGATGCTGAACAAAATCTATATCACACAGGAGAAAAAGGCACTGCCAGGACACAAGCTTGTGAAGGACAGATTGACCCTTTGGCTGTGTGTGAAAGCAAGTGCCGATCTGGAGATTAAGCCACTGCTGGTACCATTCCAAGACCCCTCGTGCGTTCAAGGAGCAGAATGTGAACAGGACCAGACTGCCTGTCATGTGGAGGGCCAGTGCAAAAGCTTGGATCACAAAGCAACTGCTCATGAATGGCTGCATGAGGTGTTAAAACCCACTGCTAAGAAATATCTTTCTGATGACCAACCACCTCAAAGCTGCCTTCTTCTGATGGACAGTGCCCCAGCACACTCTCCAGCCTTGGTAGATGACATGGATACTGTCTGAGTTACTTTTCTCGTTGCTGAGGCAAAATACCCAACACTCAAAGTTAAAGGAGGAAATGGTTATTTAGCTCACACAGTTTATAGAGATTTCAGTTCATAGTTGTCCAGCTCCAAGGCAGGATGGCATGGCAGAGGGGAATCACAGAGGAGAAACCAGTCCATGGCAAAGCAGGGCAGGCAGAAGGCAGCAAGCAACAAGTAATGGCCCTCTTTCTGTCCCTTATATCTTATCCAGGCTTCCTGTTCTTAGGGCAGGTAGCACTCACACTTGCACTCAGGATGGGGTACCCTTGCTCTTAGCATCACACCTTGAATCAGACCCAGCATCATATCACTGATCCCAGCAGCACATACCCTAGATCCAACCGCTTCTGAAAAGTCCCACCTATGACTGCATGAAGCTTTAGAGGTGCATCTAGACACAAACCATAACAGATGCCAAGAGTGACTTCATAAAGGTCAAGTTCCTCCCTCCTCAGAATGATGCTTCTTCTGCAGCCCATGGACCAGCAAGTGATATGCAATTTCCACGAAGGCACTCTTCACCAGGTGTTTTAATGTTACTGAAGAGATGTCCTTGGCTCTGGAAGAAACATTTCAATGTAATGCACTGCTTCCACCTCTTTGACAAAGCCTGGACACTCTATTCACTCTGGTGGGAACTGTAGCCAGAATGTGTCCCTGAACGTGACTTTGAAGGGTCTGATATTCAAGTAGGGGAGGAGGTTATGACCACAGGCAAGAGTATGGGTCTGGATGTTGATGGTGCAGACATAGAGGAGCTTGCTGAGGAGTATAAGGAGGAGCTGACAATGGAAGAACTTCCTGACCTCCAGAGTGAACAGCAGAAGGCACTTGTTGAGGAGCATTCCACTGAGGAAGAGGAAGACAGGGAGGAGGTTAGCTGTGATGTGATAAAGTCCATTATGGAAAAATGGAATATGGGTGCCAGGATTTCTTTGAGAAGCACCACTCCTACATAACCATAATGAACAGAGTGTTGGATCTGATGAAAGATAGCATGGTCTCCCATTTCTGGAGGGTTATGCAGTACAGGAAAAAACAAGTGACGTTAGACAGATTTTTCATCAAAACTGACCATGCAGCTAAGAGGCACAAAAAAGATGAAACCCCATGAAGGAGATCTCCCCAATGTCCTTATGGAAGGCAACTCTCCCTCCAGACAGTAATCTCCTCCCCACCACCTTCCTGTTCTCCATTCCAGAAGTTGCTGCAAGCACTGTTCTCTCTCTTCCTACTGTACTGTACTTTGTTTCATATTTTTGTGGTTAAAAAATACATATCATTCAGAACAGATTAACCTTATTTACATTGAGCCTTATGGGAAAACTTGATTCAGTTTGCAACTAAAATTGGTTTGAGACCATGTCAGTTGGGATCAAAATAGATTAACCTTATTTTCATTGAACCTTATGAGGAAATTCGATTTAGTTCACAACCAGTTCTGTTCATGACCAGAGCTGAAGAACAAATTAAATTAATGAACTAAGGCACCACTGTATTGTTGGTTGTTACTGATAATATAAATAGGATTGTTTTATTAATTTCCTTTTTGGATAGTTTGTTAATACATAGAAATGCAACTATTTTTTGTACGCTGATTTTATGTCCTATGACTTTACTAAATTTGTTTATCAGTTTTGACAGTACTTTGGCTTGATTTGGTTTGGTTTAGTTTCGTTTGGTTTGGTTTGGTTTGGTTTGGTTTGGTTTGGTGGTTGTTGTTTTCTTAGTTGATTGTTATTTTTGCACTACTAGGGACTAAATCTAGAGCATTCACACTGAACTACATGCCCAGCCCTCTTTTCTTTTTTTAAGACTGGGTCTCACTAAGTCATTAAATTGCCCAAGCTGGTCTCAAATATAAGAGTCCACTTGCCTCAGCCTCCCAGAGTGATGGCATTACAGTCAGGGGCTTCCATGCCCAGCTCAAATCTTTTAATAACTCCCAAGGTCATCATGATCTGGCTTTGTTTCTTTTCCCTTGTCCTCTCCTCTCCTCAGCAAACAGTACACTCTCAATATCCCAATATCATGATCACAGGATGTCAGGGCTCTGGGAAAACTGTAACTGTATAGCCAGGGTGAAGCTGTCAAGTTCAGTAATGTTCTTGTGTTGATGAATGATGTAAGAGAAATTAGCCTCAATCAATTAATAATGTCCTATTTGTGGGTGGCCAGTTGATAACTGGAAAAGAAAAGAAAAGAAAAGAAAAGAAAAGAAAAGAAAAGAAAAGAAAAGAAAAGAAAAGAAAAGTCATGAGTTCCACTGGTTTTCTTTTCCTACACTGATGTCAAGCATGGTTATTATGAGACCAGGGAGTGGTGAAAGGAAAAACAGAAGGTACTGAATTGCTGCCAGGAGACCAAGAGAAAAAGTAAAAAGGCACAGGAAGCCCTTGGGGACTCTTCCCTTCTCGCTGTGAATGTTTTTTTTCTACCTTGGGGAATCATGGCTTTTCGCAGGCCTTAGTGAAAGCCAGGGTAAAATTATTGGTGGTTCTGCTGAATGCGTCCTGACATTATGTGGTGGAGATGAGACTGTGGAATGATGAGATGAATAGTACGTACACACTTTATAGCATCATAATCTGTGCATGTTATCAGTGTAAGAAGAAATTAACCAAACTCTCCAAAGAAATCAGTGTTAAAGCTTTAGTTTTTGTTTTTCTTTTGTTTTTCTTCCGGTACCAGGAATCGAACTCATGACCTTGCACTTGCCAGGCAGGTGCTTTGCTGCTGAGCTAAATCCTCAGCCCCAGTGTTAAAGCTTTAGATACAATCTAAAGTGGCTTTTATGGGGTAAGAGGGAGGCATGGATAAAATTTCCAATAAATTCTCACTGTCTGATGGGCTGGTGTAGATTTAATAAAATCTCCTCAGTGATAAAACATTCCTATTTAGGTAATAATAATAATAATATTATAATAATAATAATTTTTATGATAAGCTTTAGAAAAACAATAAGCATATCTTATATATATATATGTATATATATGTACTTAGCACTTGACTAGTAACTACTTTATGAGATTCTTCCCCAGCTAGATCCTGTATTAGATGGTAAATACACTGCTTTTACATTTAACTTTTCTGCTATTCTTACAACATGCCTACCAGACCTTTATGACTTTATCGTGTCTCATAATTCAAATAAAGATGCAAAATTTCATCAAGATTATAGAGTTAATATATTTTAATTGGTGTTCTCCTTGTGGGGTAACAAAGATTTCTGGCATTGAATATCCCATTTCAGATAGATAGGTAATTAGGCAGATAGAGAGAGAGAGAGATTCTTTATGGTCCATTTGAGGAGTTTTTAAGAGAGGGTACTTGTGACTATTTCTAGTTTAAACATGCTGAGCTTTAAATCAAACCATGAAAATAAGATGCGACTTCATCATATTGCTAGGAGAGCAGAGGTGGGAAGGATAAGATGCTGAAGAAATACGGCTCCCAACTTAAGACACAAAACTCCAGTGATCTAGTGATTGACTGTATAAGTCAAATGTTGAAGTAGGAAAGAAAATGAAGGTTCACGGACACAGGAGGTGTCAGAAAATGTCTTGTGAAAATGATTATCTGCAAAGTAACAGGAATAACTGGATTATCTTGTATCTTATCCTCAAGTTGAGGCTCATAGCTGGTTGAGCTGTTGGCACCAGGACTGACTGGCAGTGTCGCCTCCCTTGTCTTTGGCTAAATTGAGAAGATTTGTATGCTAGAAGGACAGTGAAATAGAGAGGAAGAGACGGCTTGTAGACTAGGACAAGTGAGAGTTCAGAACTCAGCCATTATTCAGGAGATCTGACTAAAAGGACTAGAGCAGGTAGAATTCAGAGAAACACAAAAGTCAGTCAAAGCAGAAAGGTCAGTCATGAGCCACAAGGAGGAGAAAGGATGGTTTTCTAAAACTGGGGGACTGTACTGTGATGGTCCCCCCATGTGTGGTTCGGTGTGTCTTGCTGCCCTGGGGCTGATCCTTAAACATAATCAGAAGTGTATCAGGAAGGAAGCACGAGTAGGCAAAGGGAAATCATGGCTCATACGGACACAGAAATGGCTGCAACATTATCTGAGAAGAGCCATTGGCTAGTGATAATAACCGATAGCAGATTAGTGGGTGTGTGCACCCAATCAATGAAACTGTATAGAGCAGAACTAGGAGAAATACTGTCAGAACAAAAGGACGAGGCCAGATTACAGAGGCTTTGAAAGTCAGACGAGGCTTTTGAAAGGCCAGGATGTGGCAAGAGAAGTTTGTTTTAACTTGGCTAAAAACATCCTGTTTATCACACAAGTCCTGGAAGACAACCCAGATCTAACACATAGCGCAGTCCCCAAGAGGTCACAAATAATACCTGTAAAGGTCAAATTCCTATTGTCTTCTTAAAACTGTAAACATATCTGTAACTATTGTGGAAACTATATTACTATATTACTTTCTCACTTTCATTTTCAGCTCCATGGGATAGGATTTTTAACCAGAAACTATTGTCTGACTGAGCTCTATCTAAACAACAATGCTATTTTTGAGATAGAAGGTATGTCTTAAATTTTCTCTGCTGATTGAATAGATTTTCTTTTTTTTTCCCCCCCAGAGGTACACCCATTCTTTTTTCTTTATTTTAAAGATAAAAGAACAAAAACACATTAACAAACAGACATAAACAAAACAACACCAAAACAATAGAAGTGATACAGAATTTCAAACAAGGTGATAGGAAATGAACAATGATTGTTGTATTACATATTGTTATCTTCACATTGGTTACTCAGTTAAACAAATATAGGCACGTAAGATTGATCAAACAATTAATTGCATCCATTTACCTATGAAAGCCTCAAGTTTGTCTTTCTTTACAGCTGAGTAATAATCCATTATGTAAAAATACCACATCTTTTTTATCCATTCTTCAATTCATGGGCATTTGGGTTGTTTCAATTTAGCTATTACAAATTGTGCAGCTATAAACATGGGTGCATAAATATCGCTATTGTATGATGTTTGTGGTTCTTCTGGCAACATACCCAAAGGGGAAATAGCTGGGTTGAATGGAACCTCTAGTCCTAGTTTACTGAGGAATCTCCAGACTGATCTCCACAGTGGTTGTACTAGTCTACACGCCCACCAACAGTGGAAGAGGGTTCCTTTTTCCTCACAGCCTCACCAGCATTTATTGGTTGATTTCTTTATTAAATTTTCAATGAAGTAATAACTTTCAAGTATAGTCATTGGTAAAACATGCAAAAATCTGTTTTAACATTTCTGTTCAATATGTTAGTCTATTTCTAAAACATTCTTATATGTTTCATTTTTTAAAAATGTGCTCATTAGATCACTTTTCCAATTCAATATCATGTATTTTATACAAAATTTAAGAGAATCTTAAAACAGGAAATTTGTCATTCTATGGCACAGCTGGACACAAACTAAATATTGTGGTAGCTAATTTTAACAATATTTTGAGAGTATTAATAAATATAGAAACTTTGTAGTCTTAAAAGGTCTTACTGATTGTAATTTTTACTCATCAAATTCCTGTTTCCATTCTTAATTACCTTCATATATATGTGCAAAATTCTCTAAGCTGATGATTTCAGGCCAGATATTAAAGTACATAACATGCCAGGATGACAAAATATGAAAGAGGACAGAAAACAACATTTTTATCATGCATCATGGAATCAAAATGTCAAAATTTTAATACACATCATCATTTTATGCACCATCTTCATTCTTGCCTATTAAATGATGATGTGACTACCACAGACTCAACTCAATAGTATTTATGTTTAAAAATGTGAGAAAATATGCAATATAGAAACAACAAAAATGATATGAATATGTGACTTCCCATTGTGTAAAGGAAGCATTTAACTGAACAATTCAGAGGAAGGCATTGAATTGGGTGAGTAATTATTCTCTTGACTGGCTTTATACATCTAAGTAGCATTTGTAAACACGCACGTATTACAAACCCAAACAAAAAGAAGAAAATATCCCCTCCAAACTCAAGCAACATTATTGCTACAAATAATAATAAAAATAATAACAGTGGAAAGAACCTGTACTATTCCTGGCCGAGCACGGTGCTGCATTCCTGTAATCTCAGCACTCAAGAGGCTGAGGCAGGAAGATTGCCTTTAGTTCGAGACCAGCCTGGGCTACATAGTTAGTTCAAGACCAGCGTGAACTACATAGCAAGACTGTCTCAAAAAAAAAAAAAGAAAAAAGAAAGAAAAAAAGAATTCTACTATTTCTATATTCCCACATTCCAATCAATTGCTTCAATCCTTATGCTTTGTTGTATGTTTAATAATAATCCACAATGTCACTAATAGATGTTCTTCCTGTTATCAGCCATAATGTATTCCCCCTTTTTTGGTTTAGCTTGTTGAATTAGCATTAAAAATGTTTACTTTCATTTGTCAGTGGTAAAAATATAATGAACATCCTGTAAATTTTTTCTTGTGAGGGCTGCGCTGCCTGCCTTCCCTGCATATCCTACTGCTGCACCACAATGAGCTAACCAGCATCGCCGCCACGGTGAAGGAGCTGAAGGGAATGCTGAACCTGAGAACCCTAAGTATCAGCTGCACTTTTATGTGACCATACATTAAAAGAGAAATAAGGGGCTGGGGATTTAGCTCAGCGGCAAAAGCGCCTGCCTGGCAAGCGCAAGGTCGTGAGTTCGGTTCCCGGTACCGGAGAAAAACCAAAAAAAAAAAAGAGAAATAACACCAGGCATTTTTCTTTTTGTGAAGTTTAAGATTAGAGGCGCAATGTTAAAATAAGAAAGCATGAACCAGATTTTATTCTTTTTTTTAAGATATGCTTTAGACAGAACAGGTAGAAAATAATTGTTGGCAAAATGATGTGGCATAGCAAATGAAAATAACGAAAATAGAGGATTTATATGTTTTATTCTGTGGTTTTTTATCTGAAAAGTAAGTTTTGACATACATGATCCTACTTATATGAGACATCCCAAATAGGTACATCCACGGAGATAATAACACCAAGAAGTAATTTTAGATAGATTAGTTTTCTGTTAGGGGTTGGGGGGTTAGGGAATTGGGAGAGGATAGCTGAAGAGTTAAAAGCTTTTCAAATGGTCTAAAATTTTCTTGTGGTGGTAAGTTGTACAACTCAGTGAATATAGTAAAAAAATGAATGAACTGTATATTTTAAATGACTGAATTCCTCGGTATATGAAGTATACTAATAAAGTAAATTAATAATCAACAACAAAAAATGGTTTTTAAATTTAAATAACCCTGTGGATTTCAGTGACATCTGTTGTAACATCTCCATATTTTTCTCTAGTTGAATTGCTTTGGGTCTTCTCTCTTTCTTCAGTCAAGTTTGCGAAAGGTTTATCAATCTCATTCAGCTTTCCATGAACCAACTCTATACTTCACTAACCCTGTATATTATTCTTTTAGTCTGAATCTCATTAATTTCAACTCTGATCTTTATTATTTCTTTCCTTCTATTGGGTTTGGTTTCAGTTTGTTCTTGTTTCTCCAGAACCTTGAGATGCATCATTAGGTTATTTATTAGAGATCTGATTTTTTGATGTAGGCATTCATAACTATAAACTACCTTCTCAGAATTGTCACCGTTGTATCCCAGAGACTCTGATATCTTATATTTCTATTGTGATTTGAGTTTAGTAATTTTTAATTGCCTTCTAGAATTCTTCAAAGACCCCACTGATCATTCAAAAGTGAGTTGTTCAACCTCCATGTATTTTTGTAGTTTCTGTGATTCCTCTTGCTGTTGACTTCTAGTTTCAGTCCATTATGACCTGAAAAGATACAAGAAACTGTTTTAACTTTTTATATTTGTTAAGGCTTATTTTATGACCTAAAATACAATCTGTTTGTAAGAATGTTCCATAAGCTGCTGAGAATATATATTCTGTAGTTGTTGGATGGAATATTCTATAGACATATATTAAATCCATTTAATTTGTATAGTTTAACTCTGAAGTTTCCTTCTTGACTGTTTTTCTTTAAATGACCTATGTGTGAGATTGGAGTGTTGAAGTCATTTACTATTATAACATTGAGATGTATGTGTACTTTATGTTGAGTATTGTTCATTTTATGAAGTTGGGCTCTCTGATATTTACAATTGTTATATCTTCTTTGTGGGTCATTCCTTTTACCAACATATAGTCACTTGACCAATTTATTGCCTTCTTTGCCCCATCCAACTAATTTTGTCTTGAAGTCAGCTTCATCAACTATGAGGATAGTTACTCCTACTTGCCTTTAGGTTCCATTTGCATAGAATTTTTTTTCTGTCCTTTCACTTTCAGCCTGTGTATGTGTTTGCTAGCAAGGTGTCTGTCTTGTAAGCAGCAAGGAGTTGGGTCTTTTTTAAAATCCAGTCTGCCAGTCTGTCTTGCAATTAGAGAATTAAGATCATTTACATGCATGATTATTATAGAAAAATTTGTACAAACTCCTGTCCCTTTTTGTTCTTCTGATGTTTGATTCTTTCCTAATTTTCAATAGCTTGTCTGTGCCTCTTCTGAGTAGCATTCCTTTAAGTATTTTCTGCAGTGCTGGCTTAGTGATTATGAATGTCTTTAGTTTACGCTTGTCTTGGAAGGTCTTCTCCTTAAATTTTGAAGGGCAGCTTTGCCCTTTATAATATTCTGGGTTAGTAGTTACTTTCTTTCAGGGCTTGAAATACATCATTCTATGCCTCAAGGCCTTTAGGGTTTCTGCAGAGAAGTCTAAAATTATTATAGTAGGGTGGCTTCTATAATTTTGCATTTCTGTCTTGCTGTTTTCACTATTCTTTCCTTATTCTGCATTCATGCCATCTTTACTATAAGGTGTCATGGGTAGGTTCTTTCATGTTCGTGTTTTTTGGGTTCTGAATAATTCCTATACTTAGATTCTTATATCTTTCCCAAAATTTCTAAGTTTCCTGTTATTACCTCATAAAATAGATTTTTATACCATCAGTCTGACCTTTGGCACCCGCGTTTACACCAAAAATTAATGTTTAGTCGTGCCCTAAAGTTCTTGGATGTCTTATTCATAATTTCTGGAGTGGGGGGGTGTTCTGCCTTAATGTCTGTATATAATGCTTCCTCCAGCTTATAGTTTGTCCCTAAAATTATGTTTTCTGCTTGGTTCTGTCTGTTGGTGAAGCTTTCCATTGGATTTCTTGTTTGACTTCTTATACTTTACATTTCCAGGATTTCTGTTTGGTTATTATTTAGAATCCATCTCTCTCTCCTTGTTGAATTGCCCCTTCATATTCTGTATTATCTTCTTTACTTCAGTCAGCTTTATTTGTATGTTTTTTGAAGGCAGTAATCACTTTGTGAATTAGTCTTTTGAATTCATTGTCTGACATTTCATCTACTTTGATAGTTTTGCATTCAGTTGCTAGTGAATTACAGACATTTGTAGGTATATTATATTGCTTTGTTCATAATGCTTGTGTTTCTATATTGAGGGTTCCACATCTATTGGGATGGATATACCTTCCACTTTTATTTGAGGGTTGACTTAGTGCCCAGCCTTTCAGAGGGAGGCTTGATCCCCAACACGATTCAGAGAGAACAAAATGAGTCACAGTAACGTCAATGAGAGATCAGATATTGAAAAATAGTAAAACCACCTAAAGTCAGCAACTTTGCCACAATTAACAATAGAAATCTTCAATAATTATATAAACTCAAAAACAATCTCAACTTTGAAATATTGTAAAAACCAATTAAAAGTAAAAACAATACAAAAGAGATTGAAATAATAGTAGGAACACAGAGGTGGATTAGATATTGATAAACAATAAAGATCCACTGAAATAAACAACTACATCACCACTACTTTTATAATACAGAAGAAATGAGTAATAATAGCAGAGAATAAAGTAAATAGCTAAAAGTTAATCAAGGTTAATAGTAATAACAACAAAAGTCAAGGAGGGGAGAAATAGAAGCAAATTTTGAAGAACAAAATAAAGGAAGATGAGAAAACAGATAAAATTAAAGAATTTTGTAAATTAAATAGAGTTAGGTAAAAGCAACAGACAAAACAAAAAAAAAGAAAAAGAATAGAACAGAACAGAAAAGAAGAGAGATCAAAACAGGAAAAAAATGAGTCTAAATAATTCCTCCACCTTGTGTGTTAAGTGGGGAATATTTTCCATGTCCTGTAGGATTGGAATCCAAATGATAGGGGCAAGGATTATGAGTCAAAACTGGGACCTGTTTTGTTTCTACACCCACTTTGCTGTGTAAATTCTGAGTCCTACCTCACCTTTCCCACTGAGCAGGGTCAGTCAATGGTATGTTATCTGCCTCAGTGCTGCATTCACTCCAGAAACCTTTTGTGTTTGTTTATCCCTTTCTGTGCATCCTCAGCCACTGCTATCCTCAACTAGCTTTGATACCAATGGGATCATGAGATGCCCCCACTTGCTCCAGCTGTGTACCCCAAACACCCCAAGATGTGGCAGATATTCAAGGAGAGGCATAAGTCTCATCACGTTGGTAGGTGGGTAAAGCAAACAGACCCCTGAGTTCTACACTGAAAGAAGGCAGTGAGGGGAGTACACTGGGCTCTATTCCAGTCCTTTCAGGCCCAGCCCCCTCAGAAAACCCTGTGTGACTGGCCTGGCTTCTCACCACAGAAGTCAGGAGCACAGTATCCTTCACAGCCTGAAGTTGCCACTACATACACTTCAGGGAGTCGGAGACTAGCCCAGCCCTCCTTGTGACTGACTCTTACGGCCATCTCCCACCCAGAAGTGTGGTTGTTCTGTGACTTCTGATTCCTGAAGTAGTTCAGTCTTGAATAATAATCCCCTTCTCAAAATAGCTCCTGATTATATCACTCTCAAATACAGCAGGCACTGTAGTGAATTTCTTCTCCAGTGCTATGCAGGAGGAGTCATTTTCAGTGTAAAACCTCCAACTTTGCAGCTTACCACATCATGGGTTTTTCTTGGGACTAGCACCACCAGTCTATTATCACTGGGGCTACTGACCCTCTCCACTCTGACATTGTGCTTGAGATAGGTCCTCCTTGTTGGAACCTGTGCTCCAGATCGCTTCATTCTTTTTTGTGCATTATCTTTAGTTTCTTCATGACTTTTAGCTTTCCTGTTAGCTCTTTCTTGATTCCCAGAGCTCTCCTTCTCTTTCTCTTTGTTATATTTTTGTCTTCTAGAAGTCTCCATTCCAGGTCCCAGAGAGGCTATGATCTGCTGCTGGCTTATACTTTCCTATCTTAATCTCTCTCCAATCAACTGTAAAACACTTCTTTAGAAAACATTTCTCAGGAGAACAAGAGATGGCAGGAGAAAGGGGAAGGGAATAGAATGCAAAAAGAATTGAGATGTGTATGTACCTGTACCAACTCCTCATAAAGGCTGTAGTCATTATGTATGGTAAATATATACCAGCAAAACCTAAAATTTAAAAAAAAATATAAATGAGTAAAAGAAAGAGAAGATATTAAAACCTCCTTCATCTGATTATCCAGTGATATCCACTCTAAATGCTTTCATGTTTTTCATTCATTTGTCTGAGCAGGTATATGCAAAATATATCTG